ACTATTCATACAAATTACCTGTTCAGTCCTTGTCTCAACGCCACTCTTTTCCTTCATACAAACCTGCCTGTCCCCTTTGCCTTGCCTTTCCTCAATCTCTTCCTTTCCTTTCGTTTCCCTTCCTTATTTACCCTTTACACCACACTATCAAGAAACTATCAATCACCTAAATACAAAAAAAAAAAAAGAATAAATCTTTTATAAGTATAAAAAAAACAAAAAAAACATAAATAGAGGAGAGAGAAAACAGAGAGAGAGAGATAGAGAGAAGAAAAAAAAAAAAAAAAAAAGAAAAAAAAAAAAAAAAAAAAAAAAACTTATATCAAAACGTCCCACACACATTACCTGCAAGATGATGTGCCTGAAGGCGTCAGGGTGTCCGCCACCCCACATGGTCACCCTCAGGGTAGCCGAGGCAGCGCGCATGAGGAAGGGCAGTGTGAAGCAGAAGCGGCGCTCCCAGGGGTTGCGTGCATGGGATGCCTAAGGGGGATATAACCCATTGGATATAATCCAGTGACGGTTGGAATAAGGAGTGGGAAGAGAGCAAAGTGGAGTAGCAAGATGAAAGAGGAGAGCAAAAAAGAAGTATGAATGGATATGGGGAAGGAGGACAGTGAAACAGGGAGAGCAAAATGTGAAAAATAAAAGGAAGAGTGAAGACAGAAAGGTTGGAATGAGGATAACAAAACGGGAAAGAAGAAAGAGGAAATTAACAAGGAAAGGGAGAAAAAAAAGAAAAGAGGAGACAGGAAACAGGAATGGGAAAGAGAAAAAGAAAAATGGGAAAAGCGAAATGGGGAAAAAGAAAGTGAAAAGAGAAAAGTGAAAAGACAATGAGGAAAGAGGAAAATGAGCAAAGTGATAGAAATTAAAGATGAAAGGGAAAAGAATGGCAAAGGGGAAGAAGAGGAGACCAAAAGGGAAAGAATAAGGGGAAAGGGAAAAGGAGAAAGCAAAAAAGGGTAAGACAAATGGGGAAAAAGGAAATTAAAGTGGGAATAAGAATGACAGAGGAGAAGGAGATTGAAAAGGCAATGAGAAAAATGAAAAGGAGAATTTAGAGAAAATAGAATGAAAGAAAGAAGGATTAGGGAAGACAACTATATGAAAATGGAAGAAAGGTAGAAAGAGGAAATGGATATAAGGAAGGAAAATATGGGAAGAGGCAGATATCAGAAAAAAAAAAAAAAGGAACAGAAAAGCAGACAAAAGAAAAGAAAGCAGGAGATAAGAAAAAAGAAAGAAAGAGAGAGAGAAAAAAAAAAGAGGGAGGAGAACAAATATGAAAGGAAACACAGGATAAGGAAAAGCAAAAAGGCCAGAAAGAAAAGAGATTTAAGTGACAGAAAGGAAAACACTGGTTAGTAAGGATTCTACTCAAGTAACGCTACAGCATCAGAAGGAGGGGTCAAGGGGGATGGGGACCCCCCCTCACCCCCCTTTCCCGACTAAATACAAGTTACTGGCTGCTGCTGCGAGGAAATAGCAGCCAAGTTTACGGATTAAAGGCTCCTCTTTTCGTCAAGTTTGAAGAGGAAAATTGGTTACTAAGTTAGAAATAACCCAAAATAATTCTTATATATGTTAAGTTACTAAATCACTTTTTTTTTTTTTTTTTTGTTATTTTCACCATGAAGTCCTGGTAATTGTCAATTGGGATATGAACTCATGTTTATTGAAATCTAATTTTTCTCTTTATGTCATGAATTAGTCTGTTTTGGCAGCTTTACAACAGTGTCATGTGAAACATATTAATATCAATAGTAATAATGGTCCAATAGTAGTTGTTGAAGTAGTAGTAATAGTAGTAGTAATAGTAGTAGTAGTAGAAGTAATAGCAATAGTAATAATAGTAATAATAATAATATCACTATTACCAATAAAAACAATAAATATGAAACTGTTAATAATAATGATGATAATGATAATAAATATAATATAATAGTAATAACAATAACAATTATTATTATAATAGTATTAGTAATAATGATAATAATAATGCAAATAATAACAATAATAATAATAATAATAATAATAATAATAATAATAACATTAACAATAATAAAATAATAAAAAAAACAATAAGGGTATATTGCTAATAGAAAATATGTAAAACTTAAGTATGAAAAAATAACTATTGCTAATAACAATAACAAAAGTAATAATAATAATAATGATCAACATCACAAAAAATAGTACTACAACTACTGCTACAGCTACAATTACAATAACAATATTAGTAACAAACAATAAGAATAAGAAAAATGGCAATAATAATGATGAAGATGATAATGATGATGATGATGATAATAACAAAAACAAGAACAACAGAAATAACAATAACAATAATAATAATAATAACAATAACATTGATGATGATGAAATAACCACAACAACAATAATAGGTAATAATAACTACAACAAATAATACAAACAACAAAGCTCAAAATGTACAAACATAATCACAAAGATACTGGACATGGCCTCTGCTAATGCAAAGATATTGAAGAGTCCATCGTTTTAGAATAACCAAAATAGGAATAAGAACAAAAGAACTGTAATATGAAAAAAGTCAAGAATGGCCTATGAAAACCACGACCAGTGTATGTGACATGGGAAAAGTTTATCTATTTTTGTTTTTCAAGAGCGGGTGAGTGTGCATTTCTGTTCTTGTTTCTCTTTGTGTGTTCCCCCACTCCCCCCCTCCTCAAAAGGTTCTTTACTGTCATTTTCTCAGTTTTTTTGTTTTTGTTTTGTTTCCTTTGTAGAGACAGCAGTGTTCTCCTTTTCCGTTTTGCTAGTGGTCTTCCATCTCTCCCTATAATATCATTTCCCCTATCTTGTGATTCTCTGCTTTGCCCTGGATTAGCTATTTCCACACTTTTCCCCTTTTCTTTGAGTTTTGATAAAAGAAAGAAAGAAAGAGAAAGAATCCTGAAGACTTAAAAGCTGCTGGTCACAACTTCTGTCACATCTGCTCTCTTAAATGAGGCACAGAGGCTTCAATGATTCAGCAGAGGTGGAATCTCAGCAAGGTAATTAATTCCTTAACAGACCAGTGTTTTTGTTACTATTATTTTGATGTACTTTGCCTGTGGTTTTCATCAGAATGCAAAGTGTATCAGGTATTATTCAACCTATAATCTGTGTTTTTATGTGTTAGCCTCGTGAATTATTTAATTAATTAAATGATCTACCATTTGTATCTGCAAATGAGAGGCTTACTAAACAGAAATAAATATAATAACTACAGTAATTAATAATAATGATAATGTTGATTATGGTGATAATGATACAATATCTACAACTACTAATGCTACTACTTTACTCCTACTACAACAAGTAATAATTAAATAATAAGAGAAATATTAAGAAAAAATAATAGTAAAAATATGAACAATGATATTAACGATAAAAACGGAAATAGTAGTAAACAACAGTGTTATTGAAATAACAAGGAAATCTTAATGGAGATGAACAACAGTGGTGATGAGAGAATAGATTCTTTTCCATCATGTTCAAAAATATGCACAATGGAATGGCAACCTCAGCCGATAGATCTACAAGTGAATTAAGTAAGATAATAGATAAGTAAATGAATTGATAATTACATATGTAGGTGCCATCCCAGAAAAAAAAAAAATATTAAGAACCTACCCCTTAGAAAATGTATCTCTGGTTTACTTCTGGTTAACAAACTACTTATGCAGTTTACAAGAACACAGAACCCTAATACCTCTTCCCCTCCTATTATGGATGCTGTTATTGGTCTATGTCAGTGGCAGTGCTTTGACTAAGACTTGCCAATGACAGTCCTGGATTGTAGTTAAGTGTAGGCCTCGTCTGTTCAGGCAGTACCTATTAGTTATGTTTAAAAAATAAATAAACATATATTAAAAAGTAGGAAATATATATCGCAACTGTAAATCAGTCTTCAATCACAATAAAACATGAACTGATTCTGAAGTTACAACGAAAATAAAACAGAAAGTCGTGACACATTTATTGATTTCTGGCAGCCGGCGATGACAATGTGCCTTTTTTTTATATATAATTATTGATTCCCGGGCCCTCGAGTTGCGGATAAGCCTAATAAACTGTTATACGACGGACCACAGATTCCAGCGACCATTCTTTGTGTTTGTAAAATACTTATTTCATTTTTTTTTTTTTTTTTTTTTTTTTAAGATATTCTATTGACAATTTACAGCATCAGTTGCCCCAACGGAATGAACACCGCCTGAACCTCGTGGTCTCTCTCTTCATTAGACATTTCTCATAAATGTAAGGAAAAAACAACTTTATGCCTTCTATTTTCTGTACTGAAAATCTAACAACTTGTTAGAATCATAAACAAATTCTTTTTCTAAAGAAAGACTTTTTCTTGTGTCCATATAGGTTATCCTGAAACGAGATTTCTATAAGAAAGACTATTTACACAGGAGTAATGGTTCTACAATATATTGTTCAAGATTTAAGTCTTAAACCAAAAATAATCGTTTTGTATACTTTTGTTGTACATGTATGTGTAGAATTATATTCATATATTGATCAACACGCACACACACTCTACACAATGAGTCAGTCGAACATACAAAAAAAAAAAGCACACACACAAACGCGCATAATCGTAACAACCAAAGTGCTTCCATTGATCGTCTTTTGCCATGTTTCCACGTGAAAATGGTTTAAAGAAGTGTTGTTTCTACGTCACACACAACAAAACAAGTCAGCTATCTCCACATGTCACTACGAATTCACAAATGAGTAAATTAACCGAAATTTCCAATTTACCAGTTTAAATCAAAATTAAATTTGTCCCCAATAGCAGGTTCTGTCCCACGAGGAACCTCTTAACAAATACAAATTGAAACATGTAAACGCGGTTCAAAATCCCTGTGGTAGGTATTGTCATTCGTTGTATTCACTAATACTCCATACTGACACAACCATTTCATTTACGCACAAGATATGTGTCGGGTAACAGTAATATGTATATGGGAAGTGTTGAGAGAGAGAGAGAAAGTTCTGTGAAAGCGAAACTCCGAAAAAATGAAAAAGAAAGAAAGAAAGAAAGAAAACTATGGATTAATGAAATGCCGCATTGACATAGATATCTAACAACCTTCCGGTTCATACCTGGAGTGACTTGGCGTCGAGTCCTGGTCAGGGAGTGTTGTTATAAATAAAATACTATTTTCAAAACACAACTTTATTTTTTTTCTCGGGAGATAAATTATCACAGAACTTTCTCGCAAGCTCAAAAGTATGCTTAAAAGTATAGGTTATCGAAAGGGAAAAAAAATCCTATGCATTAAAACATCGGGCTAGTCTTCTTTATTATATATTTTTGTTTGTGCCATGATAAAAGAGTGAAAAAGATGATATCTGCATACACGTGGGAAAAATTATGATGCATAATATTACTGAATTCAACAAATAAATGTATATATATTGATATATATCTATGCATGTGTGCA